AACAAAGACAGGAAACGGTTGCAAGAGCCCATTGTTGAATATCTGAGTATTAGAGTTTTTTTTTTTTTTTTTTTTAATTTTTAAATTTTTACTCAAACTGACTCATACGGATAGTGCCGGACAAATTAACTAAAAAAAATCTATAATCCTATTCATCATTCATATATCATAAGAAAATTTTTATAAACAATCATATAGTGGTAGTACAAGTTAAATTTTAGGTTCTCGTTGTGAGTAAACCTCGTTATGAGTAAAGGAAACACAATAACCCCAAATTCAATTAAAGCTCCATGTTTCTTAAAAGCTTACCGGCTCAAACAAATGGAGGAACATGACAAACCGCAGTAAATTAACACACAGAATAAATAAGTGCAATTAAAATTCTAAATCAAACACATTTATTAAATTCTTGAATATAATAATATTATTAGTAAATACTTTGGTAACTGACCAGTATCCCCTACCACATATTTTTACTGTAAAAATATCGCATCTGTCACACAAAATTTCAGCTTACAATAATTAAAATTTTAAATTAATAATTAACATTTTTTCACAAATTAAGAAGGTGTAACATATTTTAATTCTCCAAATAAATGGTTCTCATTAATTAAAAGTGAACATTTTTCTAACTTGCATATAAAGCAGGCGTAACAAACTTTAATCCTCCAAAATAACTGGTCATTCCCTTAAAATTTCTAATCACTTTTTAATATTACCAGCTAGCGATATTTAATTTATATAAGTAATAAAAAATTATCTATGTGGATAAATTGTTATTAACTAGCCATCATGACATTTGGGAAGACAGAGAAAAGAGAGAAAATAATCTTAAAAATATCGCTCACAGATAGAAGACAGTTTTTCTGGATTGTAGGATCTTTAGTGTCCAATCCACGGGAAATGAGCAAAGACAAATAATTTTTTTTTTCCTGTCAAAACACTTTCAGAAGCATCCCTTGAATTCAGGAATTACAGGTGTAGGATATTAAATACTAATTCTTCAATCAGCCAGGAACCGCCTTAAATATGTCCATTAAGTGAGAGACAGTTTCCGAACAGAAAGATCTTTAATGTCCAATCCAATCCACTAGAAAATGAGCAAAAACCATTTTTTTCTTTCTGTCAAAACACTTTCGGAAGTGTCCACTGATTTCAGGAACAAAGGGAGCATGATACCTCCATTTGGAACAAATCTGTATCTCATGACATATTCCTTCCACTGGAATGTCTCAAACGTGACTATTAAAGTTCTCCAAAATACACGATGAAGCGGCAAAACTAAATTTTGCATAGAGCACTGTCGGCACAAACTTCTTAGCTGTAACAAATCTCTTCTGTCTGTAATGAACAATTCTAACTGGCTATTCTAACAATTCTAACATGACTATTCAAAGATCTCTAAATGCACGATGAAACGGTGAAATCAAATTTTGTGTAGAACACTTTCTCCGTTCGAACAAATTCTCATCAGCGGGAAAGCCATGAGAACCCTCGCCTCAGACCAAGGCGCAAGCCTCCTGCAGGAGGTCAAGCCCCACCGAACTTTGTCTTTTACTGCTTTACATCTTCGCAACTCAAATCTGTCACCAAATCTGACTCGATAGCCGGCGCAGCAAGACCCGCAAGGGGTCAAGCCCCCACTCTTTTCCCCTTTTTCTTTCTCTTAGCTTGAAAATCTGAATCAGAATGAATTCTGACAAGTTGCAAACCTCCTAGGAAATCTCTGTTTCTCCACCTCTGTAAATTCATAGGCTTGCAAAAAATCATCAAATTAAAATCACACCTGTGCTAGAATTTATCTAGACTGAGAAAATGTCACCCCCATGACGAATCAAACACAAGAAAAATCTCTCAATGAGCCAACATCTGTACTCATGAAAAATATGGGAACTAGAGTGGACCCCTAAATAACAAGCGGAAACTAAGCTTTATGAGAATCCAATTACCTAAGCTTACAGCCACCCCCACTGTCTTGAAGTAACAAAATTGCAACTATAGCAAAGTGAAAGCAAGACAATTTTCGTTTCAAACTCCATTAGTAAAAGGCGACTACACAACACCTTACTGCCTCCATTGTTATTAAAAAGATCATAAACCTATAAACCAGGTGGCTCTTGCAACCGTTTCCTGCCTTTGTTACACTACACTTTCAAAAACTACCAGTTAAATAAGGCTTTAAGAATACTCTTTTTACCAGATTAAAATATACATGAATACAATAAAAAAAAAAACTAGAATAATGAAACTTAAAACACATATTAATAATTAAATTCGTGACATGACATTTTGAGTTTGTAAGAAGAAGTAGGCAGGAATGATCTGCTACCAATGTGAAAGGGGTGATGGGACAAAACAGGTTGTAAACCACCGTGCTAGTGGATTCTCTGGTAACCAAGGAACTCCAAGTATTGGTAGCTTCATATTAAGCTTGTTGGCCATACATGCTTAAAATACAAACCAAAGGCTATAATATATCACATAATATATTCTGAATAATTGTTAAATGAAAATTGGTTGTGAATATAATGATTAGGAAATAGATTTAGTTGAATCCATTATTTTGAAATATGTTATGAGTTGAATGGATATAGGTGTATGGATGAAGTTTTTGTTCAGTTTAATTTGAATACTGTAAAAGGAAAACAAGGGAGTTTTAGGACCTATGCAAGCAAAAATTAATTTTGTTTTAATTGAAATAGAACTGGCTTTTGTGGTTAGGTAAACAAAAAAATGCTTTCATGCTGTGTCAACAAAGATGTGTTTTATAACAAGGAATTTTTATTTTTAGCAGCTTTGGCTTGAAATCAAATATGCACACAAAAATTAATGATGAGGTTCTGTGTCTTTTATTATAGTAAATAAGTTTAGCATAAAGAAAATCTCAATTATCCAGATTTTTGAAATGTTTGAATGGGCAGTAATGCCAAAAGAATCCACATTGTATTGTGTAGTAAAAGCTGTACTGTCCAGCATTCAATTAACCTGGAAGGCTAAAATGACTGGAATGTTTCCAAATTTTAGAAACTTTTTTTAATAAAAATTAGGCAAATTAAGACACTTGTAAAGCCATCATAAGCATGTATAAAACCTATGACTTAGAGCAAACAAAAACTGTCACCAAACAGTGATTTAGCTCCATAAGCCTGAAGTCACAAGCCAGTCATAAGATTTTTTATTATTATTATTATTATTATTATTATTATTATTATTATTATTATTATTATTATTTAATGGAAACCCAAGTAATTCTGGATAAGACAGTTTAACTTTTGCAAAGAATGTTATAAGTTAACTGCAACTTACCTATATTTCTATCGTTGAAAAAAAAAAGATTAAAATTTGAGAGCTGCCATCAATGGAACAGCATGAAGTAGAATATTTTCAAAATTATATGATAATGAAGTAACTAGTGCAGGTTTGCCGGGATCTCTGCAAATTTTTATGTTTGATTTAATTTCATGATTAGATACGATATTTACTTTCATATGAATATGTTGGTGTGAATGTCTGAAATGAATTTTATTTAAGTGTAGGCTTTTAATATTAAAATTAATTACAAATAAAATGACAACTTTTCTATCCTGAATTCAAATTTTTATATGTTCGTCTATTCATAATTTTTGCTTAACCGGAATTTGCCATTTCTTAAGCTATTCAGATAGTTGAGCTTTCACTGTAATTATAACTTGGGAGAACAATTCCCTCTTTATACAGTCAAAAGTCGTTAATTCGGACACCCATAATCCGGAATGATCTATAATCCGGAATGATCTATAATCCGGACCTCCAAGCTACAAACTTTCTGCGCGTGCGTAGCTTTGATGCATGCATATAAGACCTTTACGGCTGCGAATATGCGCGTGCGCAAAATATGCTTACGAATGCGCGTTTAATGTATAACGGACGGTATAAACTAAGCTAAAATTATCTAATTCAGTTAATGTTGCAGATTGCGTTGTTCCTTAATCTTCGAATTGGATTCGGCTTATTATTTTTTGCAGACTGTTAGAGCAATTTTATAAAAGTAAGCTTGAACTTTCGATTATGTCTAATAGAATTTCTGATATATATTTACTAATATGTAAAGCATCTACAAAGCGAAAGTATGTTTCAAAATCCATTAAAAAAAAGTGGAATTGCTGCAAAAAAAATGGATAAAGGCATATCCTTTGTTTATCTAAACTTTAACATTTGTTTATCTAAACTTTGTATATCTTTAATGCAATGGCGCATAATGAATTGGAAGTTGATCTATCACTATCCTTATCTTCAGGGCAGTTGTTTTTATTTTATTTGGCTTATAATTCCTTACTAAATGTAGTATTTCATCTCAATGTACTCCGTCTTTGATATGATTTAAATCAAATTCCTCGTCATTATAATTCGCTTCCGATAGTGAAGAAAGTGACACAGAGGTTATTGAAAACGAAAAAATTTCGATTGATAAATTAGTCGGTATTCTCAACACAGTAATTATAGGACTTGAACAGCGGAACTTTGTAACTTAACAAGAAATTATGTCTGTTTATAGAATTAAAGAGAATGTATTATCACATAAAAAACGAAGCAACTTAAACAACTTACATTGAAAGAAATGTTTAATAAAGTAAACAAATAAATATTAAGCTTTTTTTTTTTTTTTTTTTTTTTAATTATTATTTTTTTTTTTTTTTTTTTTTTTTTTTTTTGGTAAATTTTGATACCCTTTAGATCATAATTGTTCTTTGTTTCATAAATTACAGTTTCATATTTTTAATTTCATAATTTCTGCATTCCATCTTACCAGATTTAAACTGATGATCTATAATCCGGAATCGCCGAAGTCCCGACGAGTCCGGATTAACGACTTTTGACTGTATTATAGAACTGTAGTATTATTTTTTTCTCTTTATCATTCTTATTAGACAGAAATTTTCATTGTTGCACCAAATTTTTAATTTGTGTAAACTTGCATATTTAAAATTTTGGCAACATTCTGTTTTTCTCTTTTAATTTAGGACCTGTATTTATATTATTTCCTTTTAATGTACCCTGGAAGAACTCTAATCTTTTGCAACAGCATTGATTCAGTGCGGCGCTTGAGGACTGTCCTTGAATATTTAGATTGCAATCCTTATCCCCTGCATTCTTCTATGCATCAACGACAAAGGTTAAAAAATCTTGAGAGATTTGCTGCAAGTTCTACAGCAGTTTTGCTTGCAACCGATGTTGCGGCTAGAGGGCTGGACATTAAGGGAATTGAGCATGTTATTCATTTTCAAGTGCCACGTACTGCAGAAGTATGTTAATTATAATATATATTTTGGTTTCATTTTGAAATAATGTTAGAATTGTCATTTTCGTACTAAACTATAGGTCTACAAAACTGACCGTTTTGGGAAAAAAAAAAAATGTTTATAACTTTTCATTATAATTACTATGTGTTCATCTTACAGAATAAGTATCTGCTCCTTTTAATATAACGTAAAATATATAAAAGTGACAAAAATTGGTAGACATGAAAACTGAATATATATATGCAGATTTTGGTGTGAAGCCATTGATACATTATGATTGCTGTATAGTGTAGGTATTTTAGTTTTGATACTGTGCTTTTGCATTGTTTCACTACATTTTCACTACATTTTTTGTTAATAGTTGTGAGAATTTCCCTATTGGGCATGTTGTATATTGAAATAAGTTAAAAAAAAAATATAAGTAATTTTATATTTTTTTAGCGTAATAAAAAAGTTTTCTTTTATTAGAAAATTTTATCAGATGCAGAATTTTTGATTCTTGAAATGTCTTCATTTATTTAAATGTGTTCTTATATGTGATTTGAATTTTTTTAGACTTATGTTCATCGGAGTGGAAGAACTGCTAGAGCTCAAAGTGAAGGATTAAGTTTGATGTTAATAGAACCTCAAGATGCAGTTTACTATAAAAGAATCTGTAAAACATTAAATAAAGGTATAGTGAATTTAAGATTATTTTGCCATAGTTAAAAATTCAAATATGGGACTGTAAAACTATTTTAAAAAGAAGAATGTTATTAATTTTAATAACTGTAGCTTAAAGGTTCCCACAGAAATCAGAACATTTCCAAAAAAGTAAGCAAAATTTTTTTAAAAAAAGGGGGGTTGTAGATTGTAGATCAGTGTTCTTAAATAACAAAAATGTACATTTTAAATAGTACTCAGTAAACATTAATTACCTCTTTTTTTAAATAAAAAAAAAAAAAAAAAAAGCAATTGATGATTTATTGTAAATCTCTGATATAATTTTATCAACTCATATCTCTATTTTTCTCTTATTACTGAGCTGTTATTTGCTCTTCTCTTAAAAAAAATGTTACTGTTATATTACTCGTTTCTTTAGAAGTGAAATTACTGTTTAAAAATTAATAGTGTGGCACTGTGATTGAATATTGTAATTGTTAGCTATACTAATTAAGCACTTTTTTCAATCCATTGTAATTCTTGTCTTCTTGCTTTTATTGTACTGTAGGAATAATCTAAAGCAGGGGTTCTCAACTGGTGGTACGCAAAGAAGCAAAGTATTTTTAACTATTAAATTCAAAATTAAAATCCCAACATCCTGACTGAGTTTCTTCTCTAACACTTGTAAATTTATGCAATCTGAGCTTTGTTCAAGAGTGGTGGTAGTGGTAGTAGTACTTTGTAGTGATGGGTACTAAAGGTTTTAAATTTTTGTGTAGATGGTACGCGTTAGTCAAAAGGTTGAGAACCGCTTATCTAAAGGTATAATAAATTATTCGCTATTATAAATTTCATTTGCAGATTGAGTAGCCCTCTCCACCAGAGTTTGATATTTCTTTTTTTAAAACACTACCTACTTTTTGAATGGTTTCGATGTATATTTCCTATACATATTTCCTCTGTTTGCTTTACATTAAAAAAATTAAGTGAAGAATTAAATTTTTATAACATTATTAGTTATTGCATTATATTTTGCAATAAATACATTGAATTATTCACTTACTCATATAATAATTGATTTGTTGTGTTTGGTTGTCAGAAACAATTTTACCTTTTTATCATGAAAAGTCAAGGGAATAAAAAATTGAGCTTCTGTAATGCCTGCGAAAAAGTGAAAAAGCTGAATATTTTGTATGTTTCTAAATTAATGATTCATAGGTATCTGAGATTTTGAACTCATCATACCATCATCTTTCACTTGAAAATTTTCGGTTTTCAAGTGAAAGATGTTAAAAAATATTTTTTTCTTTATGATATTTTATCAGAAATTTTTGGTGATACTACAAAATTTAGAAACTATCAGGAAAACTGAATAATAATTCTTGAGCATGTATTTTATGCTTTCAGCATTTCAATATACTTTAATACTGTATGTAAAATAATATTTATTATTTTATTCAATTATGTGTAGTTGTTCTTGTGTCTGCATATGCAAGTTTGCAAGTTATAGTAATTATTTGGATAAATTGTTTTATGCCAGGCACTAGCCATTTTACACTTTCAGTACTACTAAGGTCAGAAACGGTTGTCATTTTATTATGGATGCACATAATAAATAGCAGGCAGCCACCATTACCTTCTGTGAAGGGGCAGACAATTTACATCAATGCCTTTTCCGGGATTCAAAACTGGTCTTTTCAGTACAGCAGTCAGCGTCACTAACCAGTTTACCGTCTTTGCAGCAAATAAATTAATTAAACGATAAAAAATTATTCTTTAACATATTTTTTTTTTTTTTTTTTTTTTAATTTTTGCCTTATCAATGCTGTTACTTTGTGTAATTGGTACAAGGTGTTTCAAAAAAGACTTACAAACTTTAAAGATGACTATCTTGCAAATATAAATAATTAGGTAATAAGAAATTGAAATAAAGTGATCGCTTATTGGACATCATATAAAATTTGCAAAAGGCAGGTTTTCAAAAATATTTTATATTTCTGACCATAATGACATTGCAATCTCTGTTCTAATTTCTTTTTAAGTGTTTTATTACACATTTTGCTTTGTTGGCAAAATTCTTTTGCCAAAATATGAATTAATATTTTGTGAAGTTGATGAAATAAACAGAAATATTGGGAAATTTATCTATTCATCAGAGAAAACAAAGTTGTGGGATATTATTGGTTGTATCATAGCACTTTGTTGGTTTAAAGTTTTGAAAGGTCTGGATCAGGAAATAGTTATAAAAAAATGAAAAAACTGACATGTTTAGTCAACAGAGTATCCATGGAGCAATCACTTCATGCAAAAATAGTGATCATTAGGGCCATGCTTTCTAACAAATCTTTTTTTCAGAGGGAAATAATAACTTCAGCCTGGTATATTGACATTACAGAAACTTATTTCAGTATTATACAGCTTGGAAGATTGCCGTGGTTCAAGGATAAGTGAAGATTAATACTTTTGCAGAATAATTTGTTTCTGAAAGACGATAAAGCAGGGTTCGTACGGTCCTTGAGAGTCTTTAGGTTTTTTTGGAATCAATTTTTGGTCCTTAATTTCGACCAAAATTGCCAGGTCTTTAATTTTAATCATCTGAAATTTCTGTTTTTTCGACACCCATTTTAAATGTGAATTAGCATTTTGGAGAAATATTTTTGGCAATTCACTGATATATATGGTTATCTTTTGAATGGGTTATAATTTCTTCCGATTTCTAATATAAATTGTGGGGTACTCGAGTTTCTAAGCAGGAAGTGAAACATGAGCATTTTGAAATTCATTTTATCTTATGAAGAGCTCTTAAAGATAAAACAACGTTTAGGGATGTGAATTCTTTTATTAAACGGTTCTAAATTTGGCAACTCATCAACATTTTGGAGATTTTAAAATAATTTTCTATGGAAAATTTTAAATTCCGAGATCTGGGAATTTTTCAACAATTTTTTTGAAACATTGTAACATTGATAAATTTCATTAAAAGAATGGTAATATGTTGAAATTATATTTAAAAAATAACATTAAAATACAATATTTTTATTTTTTGCTGTCATAAAGTTGCAACTTGGCAAATTATACAATATTTTGAATACGAAAAATAAACAAGATATAATGCTATAAAGCACAATTCTAAAACAGTTCTTAGCAGAAACAAAATTACCGTAATTTCGCACGTATAGTCCGCAGACATGTTTTTATGTAAAAAAAATTTCAAAAATCGTCAGATAGTCCACGGACTATACGTCCGAAATTACGTTTTTTTAATACGGCAATATTAATGTATTTTAGAAACAAAGAACTAAGCATAAATAGAAAAAAGTACTTACTTACTAATATACCTTCAGAAATAAATTTAGTTATTTATAACTAACTGCTTACCCTTAAAAAGTATCTCTACATATTAAAGCGAGTTATTGTGTTTCATTAATTCTCACTGTGGTCACAAGATAAAATACAAAAATGTAAAAATTCAAGTAAAACTTATTCTTTGCATCTAGTGAAGCTTAAAATAATACAAAATAACTTATCACCTCTGGTGCTTTAATGGCTTATTGGAACCTTAAAGTATATTAACTGGGTTACAACCCATGGAACTACACAAAGCTATGACACTAACTGCATCAAACAGAGCCTGACTAACTTTAAACACTTGCCAACCATGCCTACATCAGGCCTTTCAGGTTTGTTCTAATCAGCAGGTCTCTCTCTCTAGACAAGCAGCAGCAGTGACAACATTCAGTCTTTTGTTATGAATCATGCTGATTATGGTATTATTTCTCATTTTAACCTATGCAGTTTGACATAAAATCTACCTGCTTATTACTAAACCTCTAGACTGACCAAGTATGTGACAAAATGAAACATTAAAAAAAATCAACATAAAGCTAACTTTTAGTAAAACATAAATGTCACTTATCTACAATATGACCAACAATTAAAAGTGTAAAATATTTAATGCTACTTGATAAATTGCAAAGTTTATTTTATTTTCAAACTTATTAACAATTATGTTAATTAATTCATATTTAGTAATAATGCGTACTACTTAGGGAGCTATTTTAGTTTTAGGATGTATTGCAAAAGGTAAATTCAGGCATAGATGATATCTTCAATTGAATTTATTCAGTTCCCATTTGCTCATAGGTCCTTAATTTTTTTCATTAATGGTCCTTAAAAGTACTTAATTTCCTTGTGCAAAAATGTGTACGAACCCTGTGTAACTGATTTTGTTAGCATCAGAGCATGCCTTTATGTTTTAAGTTTTTTTTTTTTAAATAAAAGAGGCTTTTTTAAAACTTTGTCTGACATTGTAGTTACTTTCAGACATAGTGATAATTTGATTCATATCTGTCAGGGGCTTTGGACTATTTCACTTTTATCAGATCAAGTAAACCCTCATCAGTATATTGTGGTGATGTTGACTAGGAGATAATGCACACAGAAACTAGTGAGAACACTGGTTTGCATATTTAGACAAATGTTTCATTGTTAGAAAAGATGCTTAACGAAATCGATATAAATTAGCCAAATTATCTCAGATGGCTTCAAATTAAAAAGAAACATAAATATTTTGTTGAGTGTTGGTGTTACAAAACATAAATATTTTGTGGGTTTTAATGTGTAATTATCATAATATTGTTTGAGAATCAATGTCATAAATTACATGTATTTTAAACTGTGAAAATTTATTAAATAGTAGTTTTAATAGGGCTTTTTCTAACAAATACTGTTAAAAAATAAATAAAATTTAATAATGGCCATGTAAATCCATAATGACTAAGGTTGTCTAACTACGTAATTTAATTATTTATAACTAACTGCTTACCTTTAAAAATTATCTCTGCATATTAAAGCAAGTTATTGCCTTTCATTAATCCGTACCGTGGTCACAAGATAAAACACAGAATGCAAAAATTCATGTAAAACTTACTCTTTGCATCTAGTGAGACTTAAAATACAAGGGGTGATCAAATGAAAAGGTACGAAATGACACGGTGGGTACAAATGTAGACTTTATTCAAAATATACACC